CGCTGAGGAGAGAAAGTCAAAATAACACGTCATCAATTTCATCAGAAATAACAGCACCTCAAACAGTTGAAATACAAGATTATCCCATTAAACAACTAAAATACACGATTATCCCATTAAACAACTAAAATATAAGATTATCCCATTAAACAGCTAAAATACAAGATTATCCCATTAAACAACTAAAATACAAGACTTTTCCAACAAACAATTGAAAAACAAGACTTTTTTCATCAAACAATTGAAATACACGACTTTTACATCAAACAATTGAAATACAAGACTTTTTTCATCAAACAATTGAAATACAAGACTTTTACATCAAACAATTGAAATACAAGATTTCACATACGATTGTCTTACCATTTGATTGCGCTCCATTTCGATAATTGTATCTGTGGACAGGATGAAAACCTGTCCCTGAATATGAAGACCCATGGTCTATTGATGACCCCCTGGTTAAACTAGGCACCTTGGGTTTCGGAGCTGAGATACCCACAGGTTTAAAGCTACCTCCGACCCTGACCTTGGACCAGACCTCCGGTAAAAGGACCAAACTCAGCATGATGAGTTGTAGTAGGACGAATGAACGGAAGGACATTTTGGTGATGTTAGAATAACGGGGTTAACTCTGTTCTTGTAGATAGGTGATAGTTTCGTTCTTGTAGGTATGGGATACTTCTGTTCTTGCTGGTGATACTTCTGTTCTTGCTGGTGATACCTCTGTTCTTGCTGGCGATACTTCTTTTCTCGTTTGGGATAATCTTGTTCTTGTGTAGGTGATACTTCTGTTAAAGTAAATGTTTTTTGAGATAGTGTAGGTGTTCAGTTACCTCAGTTCTTTATCAATCTAATGGATATCAACATGGACAATTATTCTAATGTATATTAACATTCGAAAGAATGTAACAAAATTTACTACAGTGGTCGCGTTTCAAACACAACAAATGTCATAATAAAAATTTGTTGAACGTGAATGTTAATTTTACCTACGTACCTTCTTTACATCCGAAGAGAAAATGTCCTCTCTGTGTGTGCAATGCTCGTGTGCTAGTTGGAAATAAAAACAGTATTTCCAAGACCTTGAGGACGTGATATTCCCGTTAACTCACAGCAAGCTCAACCGACTGCAGGTCATGATTGGGCATCTGTATATTTATGGGAGTTACTTCACAATCCACGTTGTTCTGGGTTCTATTTTTGAACATAAGTCTATTAATAGACCGTAGAAAGTCCAAGGTTATCTTGTGATGACGTAGACGCTACGTCACAGCCAGATAAAATAAGAGTTGACAGCAGCCAGTTTAGGAGTCACAGTGGGGCTCAACCGCGTGATTTCATATCTTGACAAACATGTGAACAAAAGTATCATGCTAAACGCGTACAATGTCATGACTGTTATCAGTCCCATGACTCCATCAACAATAAAAATGTTACAAGCTTTATATTCGTGACCCGCCAACTGTTTTAGCCTTCTTTCGGTTACCCGGTCATTTTGCTTGTGGGGCGCGGTACCGGCCATTGGGTAACTCTGCAGTACATCGCTCAGAATCCATCACCCCCCCCCCCCACACACACACACACACACACACACAGAGCCACCCAGCAAATTTTTTAGTAAATATTTTTTTTTAATGCTACAAGCGCTTTTTCCAAACGTGAAAATTTAAGAAATGCGGTAACATTTTGACCAGACACAACTTTCCGTCTACGTCCGTAACATTTTGACCAGACACAACTTTCCGTCTAAGTCCGTAACATTTTGACCAGACACAACTTTCCGTCTACGTCCGTAACATTTTGACCAGACACAACTTTCCGTCTACGTCCGTAACATTTTGACCAGACACAACTTTCCGTCTAAGTCCCTAACATTTTGTCCAGACACAACTTTCCGTCTACGTCCGTAACATTTTGACCAGACACAACTTTCCGTCTACGTCCGTAACATTTTGACCAGACACAACTTTCCGTCTAAGTCCGTAACATTTTTACCAGACACAACTTTCCGTCTAAGTCCGTAACATTTTTTACAAATGGGGCCGGGGGGGGGCAGGGGGTGTCTCAGCCTTCATGACTTCTAGTTGCCTACTTTCAACGTTTGTCATCTTAATCAGGAGACATTAAACACAGATGAGGACGCCAACAACAAAAATAGCGCTACTAATTTTGCTTCATAAACAGCTTGATTAAGATATATGTGAAGGTATGAGAATCACTGAGGGGGTTAATTCATTCTGATTTCTTCAATAGTTCTTTGATAGGTCGTGTTTAGTTCTGAGAGGAGCTCTTCATTAGATTTCATAGACAGTGTTAAAGGCTTCAATAGTTCTTTGATAGGTCGTGTTTAGTTATGAGAGGAGCTCTTCATTAGATTTCATAGACAGTGTTAAAGGCTCAAGGAAAATAAAGCGGTGATGTCATCTTTTCGAACATATTTCTAAGTTATCTCCCCTGTGGCTACATAATCATTCAGGGGGGTCAGCTAACTGGGGTCAGCGAACCGGGGTCAGCAAACAGGGGTCAGCGAACCGCGGTCAGCGAACGGGGTCAGCTAACCAGGGTCAGCTAACCGGGGTCAGCTAACCGGGGTCAGCGAAACCGGGTCAGCGAACAGGGGTCAGCAAACAGGGGTCAGCGAACCGGGGTCAGCAAACAGTGGTCAGCGAACCGGGGTCAACGAACAGTGGTCAGCGAACAGTGGTCAGCGAAACGGGGTCAGCGAACCGGGGTCAAATGATGACAATATTGCAACAACCGATGGTGATTGCAAAACCGAGCAAATGACAAACTGTAATATGCCACAGAGTCAGACAGATTGTAGTACGCTACAGAGTCAGACAGATTGTAATATGCTACAGATTCAGTCAAATTTTAGTATGCTACAGAGTTAGTCAGATTGTAATGTGCTACAGAGTCAGACAGATTGTAGTATGCTATAGAGTCAGTCAGATTGTAGTATGCTACAGAGTCAGTCGGATTATAGTATCTACAGAGTCATGCAAATTGTAATATGCTACAGAGTCGGTCAGATTGTAGTATGCTACAGAGTCAGTCGGATTTTAGTATCTACAGAGTCATGCAAATTGTAATATGCTACAGAGTCAGAAAGGTTGTGGCCATGATATGGATTGTGTTTACATGGTGGCCGTGATATAGTTTGTGTTAACAAGGTGGCCGTGATTTGGTTTGTGTTAACATGTTGAACGTGGTATGAATTGTTTTAACAAAGTGGCCGTCATTAAATTTGCTTTAAGATGGGGGCCGTGATATGGTTTGTGTGTGAACATTGGGGCAGTGATATGGTTTGTGTTAACATTGGGGCAGTGAAATGATTTTTGATAGAAAGGTGTTCGTGATTGTGTTTGTGTTAACAAGGTGACCGAGATATGACTTGTGTTAACATGAGTGCTGTGATATGCCAGGCCGAGACTTCCCATCAGCCAGGCCGAAACTTCCCATCAGCCAGGCCGAGACTTCCCATCAGCAAGGCTGAGACTTCCCATCAGCCAGGCCGAGACTTCCCATCAGCCAGGCCGAGACTTCCCATCAGCCAGGCCGAGACCTCCCATCAGCTAGGCCGAGACCTCCCATCAGCCAGGCCCAGACCTCCCATCAGCCAGGCCGAGACTTCCCATCTGCCACGCCGAGACCTCCCATCAGCCAGGCCGAGACCTCCCATCAGCCAGGCCGAGACCTCCCATCAGCACGGCCGAGACTTCCCATCAGCCAGGCCGAGACCTCCCATCAGCCAGGCCGAGACTTCCCATCAGCCACGCCGAGACCTCCCATCAGCCAGGCCGAGACCTCCAATCAGCCAGGCCGAGACCTCCCATCAGCACGGCCGAGACTTCCCATCAGCCAGGCCGAGACTGATGGTTCACAGTTTCTGAAACGTTTCTCTTATTTGGAGGCACTAAAGTTTTTTGATGAGCTGCCAAGACCGGACAAAAATATTCAGATGACAGTGACCAAGTGACTACCGGACACACATTTTCCATTGAAAGTGACTAAGTGACTACCGGACACAAATTTTCCTTTGACAGTGACTAAGAGACTACGGTAAAAAATATTCAGATGACAGTGACAAAGTGATTACCGGACACATATATTCCGTTGACAGTGACTAAGTGACTACGGTACAAAAATATTCCGTTGACAGTGACTTAGTGACTACCGGACAAAAATATTCAGATGACAGTGACTAAGTCACAAACAGACACAAATGTTCCGTTGACAGTTACTATGTGCCTTACTTTATTTATGTTCAAAGGTATTGTATTAATTAAATTTGTGAAGATTTAAATTCTTTGTCTTTATGTATTTTTATTGCTTAAGTGCATGTGAAATGATTGAACGAAACAATTTATAAAACAAAATTTTACCTATGGACATTACTTTTTCTGTTATTTTTATCAGGATATTTTTAGCTAATACCCAGACTAACAATTAAGTTATTGCTAATAAATCAATATCAAGAGAGTTTTTTGTTTTAAAATAAAAAGCAACATAATTACCAAACTTTAAGGTGATCTTTTTTTTATAGCAATCTAAAAATAATCAGAAATCATCATACTTTCTTAGATCATTATCGGATTTATTTGAAACATAAATGGGCTATTTATGGACTTTCTGAATTTGAGGATAATTACTGCAGAACTTGGCATAAATAAATGTACTTACTTGATGCAAAGTCACCCCCTTCCCAAACCCAATACCCCTGTATGTAAATCTCGAATAGCACCCCCCCCCCCCTTTTCTTCTCGCTTTTAATGCGCATGTAATAGATTTAAACGGATTGCCCCCACGATACTTTTTGTTTTACCTACACTTTCTATGGTCTAAACATTCAAATACATCGGTATGTGACATTCAAAAGGATGCGTGGAAAATGGATTTTAAGTTAGGATATAAATTAAATGTTTTTTACATGTTATTATTTTAAAATATTCCTTCATTAACACTTTCCTCGTGTAATAAATCACACATTTAGTTTATAAGCTTTCTCGGTTCTCTTTGCAATACAAGAAATAGATTTTAAAACAAGTACATTGTTGTCCAATTTTAAAATGCATTATTACTTTTATATGGGGTGCCAGACTTAAGTTTAAAAACAATTCGCAAGGGGTTCGGGTAATTGCAACGGTTGGGCAAAAATCTTTTAAGTGTGTTTCATTTAATATAATATGCTGGTTACTCTCAGTTTGGTAATTAGACTTTTATTCCAAAGATTTTTGTGTGCACTATATAACAATTCAGGTTTATCTTACGTTTATTAGTTTTAGTTGTCATTAATTTAAGCAGAAAGTAAGCTTTATACACATGTTAAATTATTTTATTGCAATTCCATAATTTAGTTTGTTTTAATATCTTAAAAATTCCAAAGTGCAAAAATGACTTCACTACAAGTTAGCGAAAAATACCTTATCTGGTAAATATCTTCGATAAATCTAACATCTTGGTACAACACTGACCCAAACTGAGAAAATGGCTGCTGAAGTTAGAGAGGCGGAGCAAATTGTAAACGTATCTGATTCGGAGTCCGGGCAGTCAGATTTTATAGAAACTGAAATTCCTGGGAAAAGTAATAACAGCTTACTAGTGGCTAGTGATGAATTTGATGATATAAGCTATGAAGAGTTAAATAATGGGGCTCTTCAAGCAGCACCTATGGGGACAATAAATGCGCTAGTAAAAAGAAAAGTGAAGAGACAACATTCAATAATAGAAAGTGATGGGAGACAAAGTACTGTTTCTGAGGATGACATAGCAAATGATGTTGAAAATGAATCTTCAGAGATTTCTGGTGATGATACACAAGATGATAATCTTGTTCTTGAGGTAATTTAATTGACTGAAAATACGGTAATCTAACATTTCAGCGTTGGCGCAGCAATTGCCAGTTGGTTATTGGTTAAAGTTAAAGATTGATTCATATTGTTCTGGTTTGAAGTGCTGCATTATTTATTTTAACATTTTTTTTATTATTGATGTCCATTAATATTACAGCGGAGAGAGGTTAACTGGGTTTTCTGTGGTATAGAATTAGAGAGTGGGCGCTGTTTTCATGTTGAAATATCAGATTCAGAGTCATGTGTTGTATGTAGGTACCTCAAAACCACTCAGAGCATCGATCTGCACACATCCAAAAATGTAAAAAAAAAACCTGTTCTACAATATGGCGTACGGCTACCCAGTATCATTGGAAAATTGCATACTACGTCACATTTGTTTATTAAATTATTGCTTTTCTCATCAGTGACTTATCTAGGCACCTCAATACCGCCTGCGCACGCAGTTTGCGCATATCTGAAAATAACGCAAAAACTTATGTGGCAATATAATATACGGCATAGCGAAGGTGTCTTTTTTTGCGTTTTACGTCACAGTTTGCTAATAATAGTATTTAAATTATCGGTGACGTAGAGCATATATTTTTCCAAACACGGGAATACCATATTTAGAATCTTGTGACCGGTAACGCATTTAATTTTTTCATCAGTATGTACGTTAATTGCTTATTACTTTTTAATGTAAAATTCAAACGCATAGTGTATAAGCTCAATACTGCTTCATTCAGTTACAACGTTTAATAACTTTACTTCATTAAAATTAGCCGTAACGAACAACATTTATGCCTTTCATACTGGAAGATGTAAGAAAATAAAATTGTTAGTAGTCACCCGAGTCACCCCCCCCCCCCCCCCCCCCCCCCCCTCTTCACAAAAAAAAGTGGGTTGTCGGAAATGGTTCATATTACTAATTTAATTTAAAGATATTTTCATTTATACATTATAGTTCATCTTTGATAATCCGTGGAAGACTAATCAGTTAATAAAGGGGAGACTGTTTTACAATAATATCAGAAAGTAGTACAATGTAATAAATAATTTTAAATAATTGTAGCTCGTGTAATCTGGTGAATTTCGGACTTGTTTTTTCCATTGATTTATATAATTATATGTAGTAGTATTATAGTAATAAGGCATAGGGCTAGTTATAAGTTTTATTTATAAATTATAATTAATGTAATAGTAACACAATAAAAGCAGTTGCTACTACTATTAAAATATACTATTATCAATTGTAATTCCAATCAAATATGGTTATGCATTCTGGTACACTTCTAAGTCAAAAAATAAAAATTTTTCTTACATATATTTTTGTTAAAATTAAACTCGACATTATCATAGAAATTATATTAAACTAGGACAGAGGCATAAGAAAATTTTAACATTTATATCAACAAATATGTATTTGTAATATATTTCTGATTAAATAAACAAAACAAAAAAAAGAAATAAATTTAATTTAAAAAAATATTGGTTCAAATATATCAAGTCAAATAATTAAAAATAAATGCTATTACTAATTCATTGTTAAAATAATGACCATTTTATTTTCAGTCCAACCTAGCTGATCTATCTTTGCAAGAGAGTGGGTCTCTTCCACTAGAAATCCCTAGTCCCCATCTTATATCTAGTACAAACAGTGAGACAGACTATGTAAATTCTATTGAGTGGAAACAACAAAAGAAACATATTTTTATACTCAGTGATTCTGGAAAGCCTATTTACAGCAGGTAATTTAGCTATTAATTCTCTAAATCTTACATCAAGATATGGATTTAAATTGTTTGTTAATCATATATTTTAAAAAGACTAAAATGGCAATGAAAAACATTAATTCCAATATCTGTATGCTAATGATAACTAGTCTGTAAGCTAAAGATAGCTAGATTGTCTGCAAGCTAAGGAAAACTAGTTTATTTGTCTGTAGGCTAAGGAAAACTAGTTTACCTGTAAGGTAAGGATATCTAGTTTATTTGTAAGTTAAGGATAACTAGTTTGTCTGTAAGTTAAGGATAGCTGGTTTGTCTGTAAGCTAAGGATAGCTACTTTATTTGTGAGCTTAGGATAACTAATTTGTCTGTAAGCTAAGGATAGCAAGTTTGTCTGTTAGCTAAGAATAGCTGGTTTATTTGCCTGTAAGCTAAGGATAGCTAGTTTATTAGAAAAACTAATGGTGAACCAGGGGTTGACTTGATGACTGATTTCTACAATAGAGAAATACTTTTAATGTCTCGTGTTTAAATTGTTATAATTGTAAAATGTTGTCTGTGTTAAAATATGTATTGTAATAAAAAATATGTCTATTTATTTGGATTACTAAAAGGATCATATTTTATCTTATCTTGAAAAGTAATTTTAAACCCAGAGTTTAGTTTCCCTATAAACTAAATTAATATGTTGTATTGATCAGAGATGCCATGAACCATTTGATTGTTATTTAGATTTTTTTTTTAAAAAAAAACTTTTTCTCTTATAAACTAAATGTTTCCCATAAATATTAAGTTCATAACTGTCACTTTAAATGGTAGCCTCATTTTCTTATTAATTATTATATTGTAGAAGCCTTGAGTAATGTAATACTTTGTTATTAGAATTAAAGCAAACGTCAAATATTTTGTCCTTGTTTAGACATGGCAGTGAGGATAAGTTGGTGACCATCATGGGAGTCATGCAGGCCCTAGTGTCATTTGTGGCAGACAGTGACAAAGACAATTTACGTTCTATTGTAGCCGGAGATCACAGGTTTGTGTTTATGACTAGAGATCACCTGACATTTGTAGGAGTCACTAGAGGCAAAGAATCAACACAACAAATGCTGCTACAGCTGACATACATGTATAACCAGGTGAGTAACCCTATTACACACATGTATAAGCAGGTGAGTAACACTTATATAACATGTGTAACCAAGTGAGTAACACTATCACATACCTGTTTGACCAGGGTAGTAATACTGTTACATACCTGTTTAACAAGGTGAGTAACACTTATACATACATGTATAAGCTGGTGAGTAACACTGTCTTTTAAAGACATTTGGATAAATAGCACCCGCTACAAATGAATAGTCTATGTTTATTTTAATTGTCTTATATCTGTTTGAAGGTTGATTCTTATTCCATTTTTTTTTCTCTGTCTTTTCCAATAAAAAATATCATTGTCATATCTTCACCATCATCAATATCATCCTTGTAATTTTGGACCGTGAATCTTTCTGACCAACTTCAAATGCACCTAGGCTGTCTGTGTCAACCTTCTCATCTTCAAAATCTTCATCTACTTCTTCACCTTCAAAAAGTATTCTTTTTTTTGTTTACTCTATATCCTTGAGATGAGTAAGTTGGAACATTTTCGTACCACCCTTTATTGCCTCCCTTGTTTATGTGAGATAGTTGAAGTGACCTGCTATATAATCAGGATTAGTATAAATAACTTGTTAGGGTGCAATGAATCAATTAGATGTTTACTCTTTAAAAACCCACTAACATTATTTAAAAATAAGATAATGTGTCAGTATATATACAAATATGGACAAAGTAAGTTATCAGAGCAAGAAAAGAAGACAATGGTCAAACGTCAAAAAAGTAATGTGCAAAGGATTCAGTTAATCAGTAACAAAACAGCCAAAATGTGCACTTTGAAAGCATTTTCTGCACACTAAATGGTCTTGGCCTATATAGGACAGGAAAACATTAAGCTACCGATAAGCAGAGCTCGCTGTCATCTCTCATTACCATGAGGAAAACAATATTGGCGGCTTGTATCATTCTGATCAGATGGCGACTTGTATCATTCTGATCAGATGCGCCGCCGAAAATGTTAGTGTTAAAATAACTTGTCATGTCCATGGATGTAAACAATTTTTATTTATATTAACTGTCTCTATCCTACCTCAAAAATATTCTCAAATTTTAAATACTACGATGTTGCCTTTCTATCCACATAAAGGTAATATTGCCTTTCTATCCACATAAAGGTAATAAGTGTTCTCACACTATCCACTCTGACACGCATCTTTAAGAGCCATCGAAACTATGATCTCAGGAGGACACTGAGTGGAGCCGAGAAATTTTTTGATAATCTTCTGAATTTGATGGATGTGGAGCCAGGGCTCTTACTGAGTTCTGTCAGGTGTCTGCCATTAGATAGTGCCGTTAGAGACAATATATCACAGACAATCGTGCAATATGCTAAAGTTAAAGTAAGTTAAGAATTTATTATTTATGCTCGCTACCTCATGATTTTTCTTATCCCTAGCATCTCATGTTATTTTTTATCCTTAGTATCTCATGTTATTTCTTATCCCTAGCATTTCATCTTATTTCTTATCCTTAGTTTTTCATGCTATTTCTTATCCTTTGGTTCTCATGATTTTTCTTATCCCTAGCATCTCATGTTATTTTTTATCCTTAGTATCTCATGTTATTTCTTATCATTTGGTTGTCATATTATTATTATTCTCCCTAGTTTTTCATGTTATTTCTTATCCTTTGGTTCTCATAATATTACTCTCCCTAGTATTTCATGCTATTTCTTATCCTTAGTATCTCATATTATTTCTTAAGTTTAGTATATTATGTTATTTCTTATCACCATTATCTCATTTGATTTCTTCTCCTTAGGATCTTGTGTTTGCACTGATCATAGCACACAACCAGCTGGTGGCCGTTGTAAGGATGAAGAAATATTACCTTCATCCCATGGACCTCCATTTAATATTAAACCTGATCAATGCGTCAGAGTCATTCAAAGCAGCTGAGTCATGGACGCCAATCTGTCTCCCGAAGTTTGATGCAGCGTAAGGATAAATCTTCACTTACATGATTTTCTTGTAATATTTGGAACATAAATCGTTTTGTCATTTTAATTTTAATATTTTGATTTTAAGAATGTTAATTTTCTTTAAAATTTATCTATTTAAATATCTAAAATCTGAACTATTGCATTGACATGTTTGAAAATCTAAAATCTATACTGGTACTATGACATTGATATATTTTTTTTAAAATTAAAATCTGTACTGGTACTATTGCATTGATATATTTAAAAAATCTAAAATCTGTACTGGTACTATTGCATTGATATATATTTAAAAAATCTAAAATCTGTACTATTGCCAGCCGTCTGCCATCACAGATATATGGCACAATGTTAAATATCAATCCAAATTACTGTTAATAAACATCATCCAATTATTTGTCACAGTCAATATTATATAATAACTGTATAGACGTCTGTGTACGTCATCAGATAAACTGTAGTGTATATTCTACAGCATCCATGTAACTGTATATTCTACAACATCCATTAAACTTTATATTCTACAAAATTTATTTAAAAGTATATTCTACAACATCCATTTAACTCTATATTCTACAACATCCATTTAACTTTATATTCTACAACATCTATTTAACTTTATATTCTACAACATTTATTTAACTGTATATTCTATGACATCCATTAAACGCACCCTTATGAAATTTTCTATGTATTTCTAGAGGATTCCTTCAAGCCCATGTGTCTTACCTAGATGACGAGTGCCATACCTGCCTACTGTTGTTATCAGTAGATATTGAGGCCTTCTATGTCCTGTCAGAATGCAAGGCAAAGATTCAAGAGGTCTTCATCCCCATTATTTCTTATTTTATATATCTTATATTATGTTGATTCTCAACCCCATTCAACCCTGAAATGGCTAAATCAGGCCACCCAACATAACGATCTATAACATGGAACGCTCTCTATAACAAATGAACATCTCACAAGATCAGGCCTGCACAAATCAAAATGTAAGGTGGGCCGTAATAATTTACTAAATCTTGTGCGGGCCGAAAGAAAATAGGACAGGGGGGAGAAGCTAATTATTAAGAAAACAATAATTATAAAAAATATTTGGTTACTTTGTGTGTCGCACAGCGGGTGCTGGCAAGCCGCATCAGGTTCCACGGGCCGTATGTTGTGCAGGCCTGCACTAGATGAAAGACCAATAGAGTTTATTTCCAAAAACGGAATGCACCATAAAAACAGAATACTTAAACTCCAGCATCTTGAAAGCGTACATGCATTTGTCAACGGTGTGTAGCTCCGGAATCCACATGTTCTCAGGAGTGAAAAGGAAGATAATTTGTAATTGAAAATAGGTCTCTTGAGGGAGGAAAAAGTATTGATAGTTGAATACATTTTCATTCCTATTTAAGTGGTCGTGAATGGGGACAGACTTTGAAAAAGGTTTTTTAACATCGAGAGAACCAGTCGACAAAAACTGCCCATCACCTCTAGAATTATTTTAACATACATTTGAAATTAATATTTGAAGAAAAAAATTACAATCTTAATTTAAAATTACCATTAATCATTAATTTACACTTAGCATTAATTTACAATTAGCATTAATCATTAATTAATTTATATATATATATATTACTGTAGCATCTAAAAATCATTTAAAAATTGTTTCAATTTACCTCCAGAAATTAAAGAAGTACAATGCCTTGGCCGCCATCAATAATTCCCTGCGTCGTAATTCCTACTCGATACAACAGTGCAGTATCAATGATCTCAGGCACTTCCTGTACAAAGCTCGCAGCACCTCCCAGTACACAAGTCCTGAACTGGAAGCTCCATACAACACCAAGGAAGAACAGGAACGTTTATTCGGACTCTATTATTATCTTCATGACAGAATTCACACATCCGGCCGGCCCTTGAAAATATTATTTCATGTTGGGCCCTACGAAACTTTATTAGGATGGGTAAATGATTTGCTTGTTTCTTTCTCATAATATTGACTGACATTTGTTTACCAGTATACTAGGGTTAATTCCAGGTATCAATAATTTGAGTGAATTTCAGGTATCACTAATTTGAGTGATTAGCAGGTATCAATAATTTGAGTGGAAATCATTATTTTTGGAAACCAAATATTTTGTTTAGAAAATCTGACTTCAAACTAGTTATTGGTTTTATTTAACCCATTCGCTACTATTGCGACCAAATGTGACATAGCCGCCTCGCTACTAATGCGACCGAATGCGCCATGGCGCTTAGCAACATACACATAACACACGATATCGCGAGAATCATTGTTGCCTTACGAATAGCTTTGGGATTTTAAGGAAGTGAGAATAGAGCTGCTTCCGTAAAAAAAAAACGGATGCTTCTATCATTTATGGTTTGAAAGCTGCGTGGTCTAGAAGTCGGGCTACTTTTAGTGAATTTGGAAGTGTGTTTTTGAAGACTTATTTTGCTATGGCGTTTCAGTTTCTGGACTCGTTGATTGCTGCTTCATCATCTAATTATTCAGTTGCAACTAATTCAGACAACGAGGACGAATCTGACATTGAGATAGATCAAAATGCGCTAGACTTAGACAGTGAATCGGAAAATAACTCTGATGAAAGTGGCGCTAGTAACGGTGATGAAGAAGACACTGTCACCGATTCTTGGTCTGACAATTTGACCAGTGTTACTGATAAATTAGAGAATTTCAATGAAATAATAGGTGGAATACACAACCTTCCTCTTGACAGTAGTCCAATAGACTACTTTAAACTCTTTGTGACTGATGCTGTGGTAGAGATGATTGTGATCGAAACCAACCGATATGCAGAGCAGCAGCAAGCAGCTAAAGGCAAAAAAGATGCCCAGTGGAAGTGTGTTTCCAGTGAGGCCATCTACAAATTCATTTACATCAACGTTATGTTTGGATTATATAAATTGCCAACCACAAAATTGTATTGCTGATAAGCTGTGGAGGGTTCCTGCAGTTGCACATGTGATGGGGCGCACCCGTTATGAAAAGATCAGACAGTATTTTCACTGCACTAATAGTGAGCAAACTCCATCCAAGAACGCCGCAAACTATGATCCCCTCTACAAAGTTAGGCCTCTATTGGATCATGTTAGGAATGTATGCCAAACAGCGTACAAACCACATTGACAGCTGTCTGTAGATGAGGCAATGGTTGGATTCCGTGGTCGCTTGTCCTTCAAGCAGTATTTGAGCAATAAACCAACCCCATGGGGGATTAAAATATAGTGCTGCGCTGAAGCAAAAACTGGTTATGTTCTCAACTTCCAGGTTTATACAGGAAAAAGCAACAATCCATCCGATCATGGACTGGGGTATAATGTTGTCATGAACATGATGGAACCATACCTGGATAGGTACCATGAAGTTTTTTTTGACAACTTCTTTTCCTCCCCCAAACTCGCAGAGGACCTCCTACAACGCAAGACTAACAGCTGTGCAACCATTAGGCCTAACAGAAAAGGCTGGCCACTACCCAAATCAAAACAGAAGAGGGGTAGTGTCAAAATTAAACAGAAGGGTCTAATGGTTGCCACACAATGGACCGACAAACGGCAAGTCAACATACTTTCAACAAATTCTGACCCGGTGGTTACTACAGTGCAACGCAGGTCGAAACATGGAATGGTGGACACAGAGATCCCAATGCCTGTTGTGAACTACAACTCTGGTGTGTTTGGTGTTGACCTGTCGGACCAGCATCGTGCCTACTATCCTGTGGGCAGAGCATCCACAAAGTGCTGGAGGTATGTCTTTTGGTATCTCATGGACCTCTCAATGGTTAACAGCTTTCTCTTGATGAAAAGCGCCAAACCGACAGATGCCGCAGACTCTCCTGCCAAAAATCATCAGCTATTTAGAAAAGCTGTTTTGGACCAGCTTTTGACTGGAGCCTCACAGTGCAGGCAACCTGACACACCAAGTGTCTCTGGCAGATGCAGCCCGTACAACAGTAAGCATATGTTAAGCCTGGCCGAAAGCGAAGGTGCTACCAATGCTCTGTTGATGGCAACAAGATGGACAGCAGTAGAACCAGAGAGACGACAACAGGCTGTCATTTATGTCAAATCCACCTACATAAGGGCTACTGCTTTTCAAAGTTCCACGAAACACTTAAACAATAATAAATGACCAAGGGGGGGGGGGGGTGGTCAACGCTAAGAAAAAGCTGTGTAAATTTGAAAACTTTTTTTTCCAGGATTTATTTAAAATATATTTGTGAATTAAAGTATACCAACCTATACATTTTTACAAAGGTAATCCAATTTTCTATTTTTTAATGTGTGTCTTGTCATTTTAAGTTGATGTTTAGTCGTTTAAAAACATTTTTATTTAACATGGGGGGTGCATGTTTTTGAGAGTGATCTCCCTTTGCTTAGTATTTCAGGGGGTGTTTTGGTGTAAGTGGTTAGTAGCGAATGGGTTAATATAAGAGTTACTCCATTACTCTCTTAGTGGTGAATAGGCTATACAAACTGCACCGCGATGGTGGGCTAAGTGGAGTGAATTTCTGTGACCAATCACTGCACCGTGATAGTGTGCTATGTGGGGTGAATTTCTTTGACCAATCGGCTGTGACTGCTTTCTTTTTATGTCAGAGATCTGCAATGCCTTGCGTCAGTGCTAAGAATACAATCAACATATTATTTAATTCTATTCTCCAAGGGTAGAGCCAAGGAGAATTTTAGGAAAATATATTAGTATTAGGTACTTTCCTTAAACAAAGATCTTTTAAAAAAATTTAAATCTTCACCTCAGAAAGAGGAGTTTTGAATAAGACACTTGAGTTATTTGTTGTTTTTTGTCCATGTCTGTTTAATTTTATTTATTTGTTGTCCACATCTATTTAATTTTCATCTCTTTAAAAACATTTCCCTACTGTTAAATTATTGACCTTTCCAACAGGTGACCCCCGGGTTTGAGCTGTTTGCTGTGTTTGGACCACTGGTGACCAAAATAACGGCAATCCATGCTGTCAATAAACTCTTGAGGTGGATCAAGAAAGAAGAAGACAGATTATTTATTCTCAGCTCTGTCACATTCTGATCAACATTGTCATATTTCATCTCCTGTGATATTGTGCCTGAGTAATGGACAACTGTTGACCTCAAGCAATAGTAAAGAGAAGTTGGTCAGGTGGTATGTTCTATGTGTGTAAATGTTCTATGTTGAATGATGGGGGGGGGGGGAATATTTGCTTCATTGGCTCTTGTACACTTATTTAAATTAAGTTAATTTGAACAATTTCACTTTCAAATTTGAACAAATCCTTCAAGACTATGAGTAATGGACAACTGTTGACCTCAAGCAATAGTAAAGAGAAGTTGGTCAGGTGGTATGTTCTATGTGTGTAAATGTTCTATGTTGAATGATGGGGGGGGGGAATATTTGCTTCATTGGCTCTTGTACACTTAATTAAATTAAGTTAATTTGAACAATTTCACTTTCAAATTTGAACAAATCCTTCAAGACTGGACGTCTTGTTGTGACTGGATGTCTGGTTGTGAGTGTGGATCAAGTCAGTAGAATGGAATCAAGTGTATATGTTGAAATATTTGCCTTTCATAACACTGATTGCCTGAGAAAGGATTGTAACACTGATTTCCTGAAATAAGATTGTAAAACTGATTGCCAGAGATAAGATTGTAACACTGATAACCTGAGATAAGATTGTAACACTGATTGCCTGAGATAAGATTGTAACACTGATTGCCTGAGATAAGATTGTAACACTGATTGCCTGAGATAAGATTGTAACACTGATTGCCTGAAATAAGATTGAAATACTGATTGCCTGAAATAAGATTGTAACACTGATTTCCTGAAATTGAAATAAGATTGTAACACTGATTGCCTGAGAAAAGATTGTACCACTGCTTGCCTCACAATTATTTGACAACTTAGATAAGGATGGTTTGTTAAAATGATCAACTCCTTCTGGTTACGGCATCATGATAATGTGACATGACTTCTAAACCAGGGCCATGTGGCATATGACATGACTTCTAAACCAGGGCCATAGTACATATGCTACAGCATATTCTTGGAACTACAAAAACTTTTAAAAAGGTCTTTTTCTATCAAAAGAGCATTTTCAAAATTTTAACAAAGAAAGGGGCCATGGAGGTAAATAATATGTTCAAATGGGTCATCAAAAAATGTTATTGAGGAATGCTGCAAAACAATGTTCCCAGTTCATCTGGTACAACAAGGGAGATGACATGTCTCAGCCGCCAAACATAACTTTTAAAATGAATTGACTAACTTCCCCCCATAGAATAATACTAGTGTGATATGTATAGATAAAGCACTTGACTCCAGCAGTTCTCAAAGTCTGCTAAAATTATACTACCACACTTTGTGTCAGGTTTCACTTTCATAAATGATCATTAAACCAGTACCTCTCTTAAGATATACTAATATACTTTATAATCGGTTGTAAACATACACTAATAAAAATATAATATAGCTGTCAAATACTTCAAACTCATGATGTCATGCACTATGATAATGATAGTATAACAGCCAAAAATAGGATAATTTCTTCTTCTCCTAGGAACATAATTATTACTTACTTAATGATATCTGGTGTTTAAGCTGGCTGTTACTATGAGGATACTGTCCAATGTCTGACATAGTGCATCTTTTGTTATCTTTGTAATTCATTCATTTTATAACTGCTGATGTCAGACTGACCATTACACTACTAACGGTGATGTACAAGGTCATCTCTTCCAAGAGATGGTATCCAATATGTCTGTAAGACACTACTGTATTGGTATGTACATTGTCATCTCTATCAAGAGATGATATCCAAGGACATCCAAGATTTCATAAGAGTAAGAGCATAAATTGTCGGAAGTGTCTAAAATCTTTGACATGGGAGAGAACTTGTTAGTTATGCTTATCATGATATTAATAAGGAAATATTTTGTTGTCTACAATGTTTGCTACTCACGAAGAAGAAGGTTCAATTTTGTTTTATTTAAGACATTAAATTTAGATTTTAAGAATCAAAGGTAGGCATTGTTGACCACATGAGATAGAATCTGCCATTTTAAAATCTTCGAGATTGTTTTAAATGCACAAAAATGTTATTGCCATGTAATTTATTTTGTAATAAACATTTGAAAGAAAAAATTGCTTTCATTGAACATTGACTGTATGTTGTTCATTTCAAAATATCTCTTGGTTTATTTGATCCCAAAGGAGCTGTACTTTGGCAATCCTTTTAATCTGTTGAAATGAATTTGTCAGCCATCTTATTCTGATGACATGTATTTGGCACCATCTTATTCTAGTGACATGTATTTGGCACCATCTTATTCTGGTGACATGTATTTGGCACCATGATTGTTATTCTGGTGACATGAATTTGGCACCATGATTGTTATTCTGGTGACATGAATTTGGCACCTTCTTTTTCTGGTGACATGTATTTGGCACCATCATATTCTGGTGACATGAATTTGGCACCATGATTGTTATTCTGGTGACATGAATTTGGCATCTTCTTATTCTGGTGACATGTATTTGGCACCATGATATTCTGGTGACATGAATTTGGCACCATGATTGTTATTCTGGTGACATGAATTTGGCACCATCATATTCTGGTGACATGAATTTGGCACCTTCTTATTCTGGTGACATGTATATGGCACCATCATATTCTGGTGACATGAATTTGGCACCATGATTGTTATTCTGGTGACATGAATTTGGCATCTTCTTATTCTGGTGACATGTATTTGGCACCATGATTGTTATTCTGGTGACATGTATTTGGCACCATGATTGTAATTCTGGTGACATGTATTTGCACAATCATATTCTGGTGACATGAATTTGGCACCATGATTGTTATTCTGGTGACATGTATTTGGCACCATGATTGTTATTCTGGTACATGTATTTGGCACCATGATTGTTATTCTGGTGACATGTATTTGGCACCATGATTGTTATTCTGGTGACATGTATGTGGCATCTTGATTGTTATTCTGGTGACATGTATTTGGCACCATGATTGTTATTCTGGTGACATGGATTTGGCACCATGATTGTTATTCTGGTGACATGTATGTGGCATCTTGATTGTTATTCTGGTGACATGTATTTGGCACCATGATTGTTATTCTGGTGACATGAATTTGGCACCATGATTGTTATTCTGGTGACATGAATTTGGCACCATGATTGTTATTCTGGTGACATGAATTTGGCACCATGATTGTTATTCTGGTGACATGAATTTGGCACCATGATTGTTATTCTGGTGACATGAATTTGGCACCATCATATTCTGGTGACATGAATTTGGCACCATGATTGTTATTCTGGTGACATGAATTTGGCATCTTCTTATTCTGGTGACATGTATTTGGCACCATGATTGTTATTCTGGTGACATGTATTTGGCACCATGATTGTAATTCTGGTGACATGTATTTGGCACAATCATATTCTGGTGACATGAATTTGGCACCATGATTGTTATTCTGGTGACATGTATTTGGCACCATGATTGTTATTCTGGTACATGTATTTGGCACCATGATTGTTATTCTGGTGACATCTATTTGGCACCATGATTGTTATTCTTGTGAAATGAATTTGGCACCATGATTGTTATTCTGGTGACATGAATTTGGCACCATGATTGTTATTCTGGTGACATGTATTTGGCACCATGTTTTGTTATTCTGGTGACATGTATTTGGCACCATGATTGTTATTCTGGTGACATGAATTTGGCACCATGATTGTTATTCTGGTGACATGTATGTGGCATCTTGATTGTTATTCTGGTGACATGAATTTGGCACCATGATTGTTATTCTGGTGACATGAATTTGGCACCATGATTGTTATTCTGGTGACATGAATTTGGCACCATGATTGTTATTCTGGTGACATGTATTTGGCACCATGATTGTTATTCTGGTGACATGAATTTGGCACCATGATTGTTATTCTGGTGACATGAATTTGGCACCATGATTGTTATTCTGGTGACATGTATTGCGCACCTTGATTGTTATTCTGGTGACATGAATTTGGCACCATGATTGTTAATCTGGTGACATGAATTTGGCACCATGATTGTTATTCTGGTGACATGAATTTGGCACCTTCTTTTTCTGGTGACATATTTGAATCTCACAGTTAGTTGAATTCTTGGGTTACTAATGTTAAAATCAATGTACCGGTATTTGTAATTTCTAAGAATCTATAAAGAATTTATATGGCTGCCAAAGTAACTCAGATCTGAGACAGGTACAAGTGACTTCTCACAGAAGATGGGTGCAAGTGACCCCTTGCAGGAGATGGGTGCAAGTGATTCCATACAAGATGATTACAGTGTTACATATTGACCAGATACAAGATGTTTACAGAAGCTTAAACTTTAAATTCTCTATAAAGGTAATAATTTGGCTTTTATTTGTGTCTTTCTTTCTGGCTGGGTGTGTAACAACATCTTTGGACAGCTACTTGACCCACTTCCCATCAATATATCAAGCTGAAACATGGAATATTGACTCATTGTCAATAACAACACATTGTGTTAAACTTTCAGCCCCAACCCACAAAATGAAGTATTCTCTGTTTTTCAACGGGAAGATGAAAGAATATGATGACACTGATTTCACGAAATAAAATTCTTGATAACTGCGCTAAATGAGATTCGTAAAAATATCTCAAGGTTTTGGTTTGTGATATTTTCATTTATTTTTCTGAAATAGTTGGTGTGATAATTCTGCGGTGAAAAGCAAGTTGGACATTAGAATATGAATATAAAAAATTTATATAAATATAAGGCATTTATATGGAAAACTTTATTTGACTGAGTATTCATTAATTATTAGTTAAACATTGTCTAATTCAATAATCTTTACTATTAATCATCAGTTTAACTATGTGTCTAATTCCATAATCTTTACTATTAATCATCAGTTAAACAATGTGTCTAATTCAATAATCTTTACTATTAATCATCAGTTAAACAATGTGTCTGATTCAATAATCTTTACTATTAATCATCAGTTAAACAATGTGTCCAATTCAATAATCTTTACTATTAATCACCAGTTAAACAATGTGTCCGATTCAATAATCTTTAGTATTAATCATCAGTTAAACAATGTGTCTGATTCAATAATCTTTACTATTAATCATCAGTTAAACAATGTGTCTAATTCAATAATCTTTACTATTAATCATCAGTTAAACATTAAACAATGTGTCAGATTCAATACTCTTTACTATTAATCATCAGTTAAACAATGTGTCTGATTCAATAATCTTTACTATTAATCATTAGTTAAACAATGTGTCTGATTCAATCATCTTTACTATTAATCATCAGTTAAACAATGTGTCTGATTCAATAATCTTTACTATTAATCATCAGTTAAACAATGTGTCAGATTCAATACTCTTTACTATTAATCATCAGTTAAACAATGTGTCTGATTCAATAATCTTTACTATTAATCATCAGTTAAACAATGTGTCTGATTCAATAATCTTTACTATTAATCATCAGTTAAACAATGTGTCTGATTCAATAATCTTTAGCATGTCTCTTACTCAACTTGATGTTAGTTAAATTTGTGTATTTGGATAACATTTCCAAATACTACCATCTTTTGGACAGGACAGCCATGTTGTCCATTTGACACAGGACAGCATGTTGTCCGTTTGACATAGGACAGCCATTTTGTCCGTTTGACATAGGACAGTCATGTTGTCCGTTTCAAATAGGACGACACTGAAGGTAACACGTTTGTTATTAATGCTGTGTGTTGTTTGTTCTCATTGTTGTAATGTTGCCTAGACAAGGGACACCATTCAATTCAAACAAATGCCTAGACCAGGGGTCTCCAAACTTTTCAGCCCGAGGGCCGCATTAACAATCAAACAGCAGTTCGGGGGCCGACTATACACTCGAGGTCCAAATAAAAACGAATCAAAACATTGATGTTGTTTTTAATCATTCATGTATTATTATTTCCTTCAGTTATTTTTTTAATAACACATTGATACACGACACATGAACGCCTGTATTAAGGGGATGGTGAAACTGTTTCCCGGATGCTAAAATGGCAGGGATTATCAGACATGGATACGGATTTGATGTCCCTAACATCAACAGTGACCTGAGATGATCAGGCCACACACTCGGTGTTTCACGTATTTCGTTCCTGAAAATGTTTGTTCACACAGGTATGTTGTTCCAAATATTTCAAGGTACATTGATGCAAATGCTTTGAAATTAGGAAAGTCTTCCTTGGGCGAAAACTAGTTAAAAACACACATGTCCTTCTTTTAACTTGCCCCTAAGGATGTCATTTGCTTGCAACTCAATGACCTCCAGGTGCAGTTCGTCTAGGCGACTGACCACATCTGCCTCAAATGGGTTTTGAAAAAGTCTCACTTCTTCTGACTTTAAATCTAAGTCAGAAAACCGCTGCTGAAACTGCAGCTGGGAGTCTTTGATGATCTCGAATACAAATGACGTGGGGAACTCCGCTGTTGCTTCAGCCATGAATACCGTCCACTGCTGAAAGTGTGTCAAATTGTTGACCTAACTAGTTCCAAAAAAAAAACAAGACGAATTTGGATCTGAAGGACTTTAAAATGGTGTATAGATCAGAAACTAGATTTTCCTCTCCTTGTAGTTTTAGGTTCAGAAAATTTAAATGACTAGTTACGTCTGCAGCAAAGACCAATTTCCAAACCCACTCTTCATCAGTCACTAATGGCTGTGGCTTGCCTTTATTTTCCAGGAAGTCACCTATTTCCTTTCTTAACTTAAATACTCTGCTCAGAACTTTCTGACAACTTAGCCATCGAATTGATGTTAGTCCAGTCCAAGTTATATTCAGCAAATGTTTCTTTCAACTCGTTGAATATATCCTCTCCGGTAACAGTGTCATACATGCTATTTAGGGAAGCCAGCTTTTATGTTATGTTCATGTCTTTATCCACACTTCTAACGAACACAAGCAGTTGAAAGATGGAACAGCTGTCCAGCGATTCATCCATTGCAATTAAAAATTGGCGAAACTTGCTTGCATTTGTTTGCTATTTGAGTCACAATGTTTTCATCCATGTCTGCAACAAGGCGGGCAAAACTCCGCCACTAGAT